AAGCAGGGCTTCTGATTGGCCACTGAAGATCTGGCTGGCTATGCAGATTAAAATAACATTGCTTCATTGCCACCATAGTGTTTTGTTTTCTTCTCTCTCACCCTCTTCTCCCCTGCACTTGGCTTCCTCTGTGTGTGTGGCACGCCCGCCTGTGGCAGCCATTTTGTAGTTCTGCCCACCACCCCATGTCAGAATTCCAAAGGTGCCCACAGACTCAGGAAGGAGGGGGACCACTACAATAAGCTTTTCAAGGCAAGAGATGGACAGAGGTGGTTTGCCATTGCCTGCCTCTGTGTCGCAACCCTGGGCTTCCTTCCTTCCTTCCTTCCTTTAAAATTTAAATAAATGTTATTGATAATTCAATATGCAACAGTATAATAAAATACAATACAGTCACAGTGCAAACAAACTTATTTAAACTTTTGGAAAGAAGTGTGAGAAATAACTTTAAATTAACCAACTATTAAACCTGTTTCAAGATTGTTTTCATAATGTGCAGGTGCAAAGAAAATGTGGATATTTTTCTATATTAAATTCCACAGTAACAGATGCACTTAGTGAACAGAATGTTCAGATCCTTCCTTTCTTATCTTGCTGTTCTTTTGACTCAAAGGGACCCTGGACTTTCTTAGGGGTTTCCCATCCAAGAACTAACCAGCGTCAGCCCTGCTTAGTTTCCAAGATCTGATGAGATCGGGCTACCCTGGGCCACCCAGGACGGGGCATACACTAACAGTGGTCTCAGCAAAAGTCCATCAGGAGTAGCTGGGATTGCTGTAGAACTCCTAACCAGGATGCACTCATTTGGGGAACACCGTGTGCATGGGAACCAAGCAGAGCTTGACCTCTGACCTCCAAAAGTGAACAATTCGTTGCAACCACCTGCAATCCAACTTGTAGCTAGGTTTTTTTAAAGAAATTATTGCAGTGTTGGCCTATCCAATATAGAATGTCAAAATGCGCCTTTACATTTATTCCTTTACTTCCTACAGATGCATACTGGCTGTGGCATTATTGTATTGATCTTAATCAATGCGTTTTGTCTGGAGGGATTAATCACCGCTTTTTTTCTTTACAGGGTCTGTAATCAAAATCATTTTTATTATCATCGACTTCAGTTTTACAATAATAAAAATAATTCTTTAAAAAAATGAACAATTGCTTTGGATATAAAGTGGAAAGCAATAATCATTTTCCCCGGAACCAGAAGAGCTGGTAACTTGGGTTGCCAGCTCCGGGTTGGGAAATTACTAACTACAATCACCATTTTAATTCTGTTTGAAGTTGATTTGGGGGGGGGAGTGGCTGAGCAGCAGAAACGTGGCCAGCAGAGACATGTGGAAGGCCCTGCCCCGCCCCGCCCCTCCTCAACCCAGAATCTCAGCTCTTGCTGCATCATTTAAAAAGAGAGAGAAGGGGGAGAGGGCACGCACATACCGAGGGGGATGATCTTCACTTCATGATGTTGAGCAGCCAACTTCTTCAACTCCTGAAAGAGACCAAAGCCAGAGATTTATAATTA